ATACGAGATTTGCTTTACGACTTTTCCCAAGGGAAATATACGGCGCAAATACAAAGATGCTGTTGACCCCAAAAGTCTACAGATCGATAGTTCCATGGGCCACGTGAAATAAGGATAATTTAGGTTTAGTTTCAGTAAGAGTTTTACGGCACTTGCAACACAATAGGTCATATACGTGCCGAAGATTAGAGATGTTACAAGAGAGTTTAGTTTTAGTTTTAGTAAGAGTTTTACGGCACTTGCAACACAATAAGGTCATATAAGTGCCGAAGATTAGAGGTGTTACAAGAGAGTTTAGTTTTAGTTTCAGTAAGAGTTTTACAGCACTTGCAACACAATAAGGTCATACAAGCGCAGAAAATTAGAGATGTTACAAGAGAGTAACAAACACAAAAAAGGAGGAGAGATCAAGACGATAGGTGTTTGATAGGAAAGAAGGAGCAAACCACACCAGAGCACCCACCAACCACCCATAAATAAGGATAGATAACCAAGTTCCAGGTGCCCTATTGTTCTGATGAAGTAAATTGGGAGTTCTTGTGGTACATAATATAATTATTAGTATTATTATCTTTGACTTAAATTGACTTAAAAACTTGAATCGTAAAATCATCCAAGTACATTGAGAATTATTTTGGTACATAATATAATTATTAGTATTATTATCTTTGACTTAAATTGACTTAAAAACTTGAATCGTAAAATCATCCAAGCACATTGAGAATAATTTTGGTACATGTAGTATTAGTATTATTATCATTGACTTTGACATTTTTTACTTAAAAACTTGAATCGTAAAATCATCCAAGCACCTTAAGAATTATTGTGGTACAAGTATTAGTATTATTATCTTTGACTTATATTGACTTAAAAACTTGAATCGTAAAATCATCCAAGCACATTGGGAATAATAAATAATTTTTTTACATGTATTAGTATTATGATCTTTGACTTATATTGGCTTAAAAACTTGAATCGTAAAATCATCCCAGAACATTGAGAATTATTTTGGTACATGTATTAGTATTATTATCTTTGAGTTCTATTGACTTAAAAACTTGAATCGCAAAATCACGCCCGCCCCCCCCCCTTTACAATGCCCCAAACATTCACAGATGAGACAATTTTCATTTGTATGTAATTTATCTGTGGCAATGCCACTC